TCTTGCTGGGACCAGCGGGTACCGGAATACTTCACTCGGCCATGCTTATCCGCATTATGCTGGGTGGGGTGTGCGTGCCGGCGGTGTTGACTCAGGCCAATCTTCGTCGGAAAAAGGCGGAAACAATCAGCGCAGACCAATTGGGCAACCGTGTTCTACCAACACTTTAATTGTCGTGAACTCGATGATGGGCTACAAAGCCAGCTTTCGATTTGCAGCACTTGCCACATTCCTCACACGTGAACCCAACGAGTCTCTCCTGTGTACTGGTTGGAACTGGTGCGGAGGCGCCAGATGATTCGTAGTATACATTGTCGAAAGTAACCAGCACATTGAAACCAAACGGGGTGGTTGGCCCTGTCTGGAGTTGCTGAACTCTTAGCTCACCCAGACAGACGTCCAGGCTACCCGGTCGCTACCACGAGGAGGTGGTTCAGCTCGCCGACTGAGATGGTACCTCTGCGCACGCAAGACCACAATTTTCAGAAATACTTTTCAAATCTTGTGAGAACATTGGGCAAATTTTTCCTAAGGGGGAAGGGCTTTTCTAACATAGCTGAATCGTTCGCACTCTATGGATTATAGTTGTCAAACCAGAAGGTTCGCATGACTTTGATTCATCCGTCTCGGTAGGCAGACATAGCATAGTTAGTAACACTGACGAATATCAAGCACAAGCATGGCCTGAATAGATTTCAAAATAAAAACTTAATGGCACCAAACAAACCTAGAGGCAGGGCCTACTTGGTTCTTATTTGAACTGTTCATCAGGGGTTACCTAAATGTGAAAGTCACGGGCTGCTTATAATAAATAACAGTTAATCGATCTCTTTAGGGAACTTAACAATGTGAAGCCGATTGCGAAGTACCATTGTGCATCAGAACCACTGAGAGCAACTTTCCGTAGCATTTAACATCGTTTTTTTTCCAAAAAACAGATCATTATAATCAGCTTCGTGCCTCCCGACATTTACAGAGTGTAGATGTTACAACAGACGTTTATTTTATTGATCCCAAGAAATGCGTTGGTAGTAAGGTGTTAGAAGTGTTGTGCAATGTGTTGATACCAGATCTGCAACATATCAAAATTAAACTAAATTAATCCCGTATATAGTCCATCCATTAGCTAAAGAGTATGATTATCAGAGTTTAATCAGTGTTGTTCACAATTTGAACATCTATCCGGTCTTTTATTGTTTCCTAAGCATAATTGTGGCCACAGTGTGCAGTTTAATGGAATCTCTTGTGTTGACTTTGCAAGATTGGCACATATCACCACTTTCTTTACTCATTTAATGCTGAGTCAGGAACAGTAAATATCTATCGGACTTAAATTCATCCATGCTAGTATGTATGGCACAGTGATTGCCTTCTCCCAGTTTCTAACCAGATTTAGATTCTCCCTCGTTCATGTGTTCTTCTTCCTCTTCCTCCTGATGTTCAAAAGACTAGTGTTTTACATTCATTGGCTTTGCTTTCGCGCGTTTCGCTACACATACGGCACGTGATGCCTTTAGTGAATAATTTTTCACTGTTTTCGAGCAGTTGTAACAGGTAACGCTAGTTTGTCGCATACTAACAGCCAACAATCTTTGTGTGATGCACCGTATACCCGCCGAAAGTTTTTAGCTAATTTTCATCCATCACTAAGAAATACTCTGTCCACGTCTAACTTTGGTATGGTTCTCCGTCCAACCTACCTCTTGAAGTATTTTCCTTCATATTGTCTAAACACAATGCCCTTTCATTTCAGAAGTCTGTATAATCCAGAGAAGCAAGTATTGATCTATCTGCCGGTTTCTTTTATTATGTGCCTTCCTAACGTTTTCGGCATCACAGACAATCCACCTGTATCAGTCAATATAGTTACACTGTATAATACAGGTGTTCACACTACAATGACCGAAAAAACACTGCATAGTCACATTTTCCGTCACTCTGATTCACCAAATTTATTGATTGGATTATACCCGGTTTGTGGAGTTCAGCCAATCACAACGCTGCTCTATCAATAAAGTTATTATTCCATTTGGAATTTCTAATGTCGCTATCGCGCTACTAAATGACTGTAAAACTCGAAAGGACCGATGCTATCAGGCCAGCTGAACACGGACAACAAACGCAGAATTACAGACCGTAAATCAACAGAATTTTTCGGTCCAACATTCTAAGGAAGAAGCCGAAAGGTCTCTTAGGACTAAGGCATAATTAGACTGGCTTCACCGCCTGAGGTTGATAGATAAAAACGTTATGGAACCTCGTTTAGGGAAGCTCTATCAGAGGGGCAGCGTCCTGAAGCTCCCTCCGTAGTTTATCAGCTCTCCTTCGAAGCTGATTCAAAAAATCATCATTTTACTCCCATTTCAGATTGACCTTCAGGAGGTAAAAGAAGCGTACGAGAAAAAATATAACAAGTCACTGGCAAATGCGATCAGAGGTGATGCGTCAGGAGACTACCTGAAAACTCTGCTAGCACTGCTAGGAGAGCAATAACCATACACCAGCAACCTGCGGGAATGATGGATACCTGCTGAACAGGCTCATGCTCGATTGTTGAATAATAGTCTTCATTTTTTAACTGTTTCATTTCCATCTGCTTTCGTTTTTCTTTCGGTTGTGTCATTGCTTTTCCGGAATCTCATTGTGGCAATAAAACGCGTTTACAGGTGCGGTAAAGTGCCAAGCAATCTTTCCCTATCTTGAAGTGGCGGAACTTTTCACCTACTGCATAGTAAACAAGTAGTTCCAGTTTATGTCGTATACTTCGTGATTCCCCTACTCCCCGGTGTATCGGAGCTGATGAAGGAAGAGGCGACTATTTTGAAACCACACATCATGAGAATAGAAAATGAATTCCCTGCCTTTCTACTGTTGGAAATTCAAGACCTGAAGACACCAGCTCTCAAATCCCACATTATCTTCTTCTTATCATCGAAGTTTGGATACATGGTACCCATCAGTTGCACCAGATGGAATAACATCATTCGTAAACCAAAAACCGTATGTCAAATATGTCCAGTTGAATGGCAAATGTGTATCTGCTACTGTGTGCCAAGCTGGTGCATACGATCGCACGTTCCTCACATCCAAACGGTACACTCGGACGTCTGCAAGTTGGAGTGCATTTTAGCAAGTCTGCTTTCCCAAGCCATTAAAACAGTCACTGGACATAACGGCTAACGCATCTAGTGGGGTGAAATTATTCTTAATGTCACTGCATTTGTTTTATTCACAAACCCGTTTAGACGCATTGTCATAGATCCGTAATGGAATCTGTGTAATTTCATCTGCCAGTTTTTAAGTTATGGCAGCCATTTTGTCAGCACATTGGCCTGGTAACACCATGTAGAAATTTGTGGTGCGCAACGACCGTGGCATTTGCTGACTTCTTCAGCCACGCAGAATTTGAGGTGCGTTCAGAGTCGGTCAAGGTCATGTCCAGCGGTTCCTGTGTTGGTGAGCTGTGAGCAAATACGGTTCGACTGATTCGAGGTTAGCAACCACCGGGGAATAGAACTCGCAGTGCGCATAGCAGATTCAACTGCCTGTAAGATGGGCAAAGGCACACACATCAGTTAGCCGGAAACGTCTCACTAGATACACAGCTTCTAATTTGGTCATCCGACGCCTAAATTGATAAACCGACAGAATATAAATGTACAGCGTTCCAATTTGTTAGTCCTTGAGTCATTGGTTGCTTGATGGAGAGCAAAAATAACAGCCCGTCCAAAAGTTACTTCATGAGCCAGTGGGTTGGATAAAATATGGATAAAGACGCTACAGTGGGACTCTGGCTTTTCAAGTATTCACCACCCTAACTGTAGGGAGGGGCAGATCATAGCCTAATTTTTGATACAGATGATCTCTCGCAAAGATCAGGTTGCAAGCCTGGCGTAAATGAGAAATGAATACGCGGAAATCGATGCTTTATCTGGTCTTCTTTGGCTCGTTGATGACGATGATGATGATCAAAGCCACGCGACAGTTAAGGTACCCCGAAATAAAAGTTTCTAGCGCGCCAAAATGGTAGCACACCGCTTCAGTCTTCGCAATCAGTGGGAGTTTTCTGGTAATTCTAGAAAAAATGAATGTCGGGTGCCGTGAAATTATCCACTAGCTCATAACACAAGTTATCTGACTACCCAGCGATTCCGGCTCCATGGATTCAAAAGAGCAGTCTAAAAAGAAGGGGTTCCATATAGTAGTTAACAACCTATGAGTGATACAATGACAGCTGAATCTCCACAGCATACTATCCGAGATGCGTTTGTTTACTTCTGTTGCGACCTTTTCACTTCCTTGCGTCTGTAACACTCATACCTTATGTATAAAGAACGTCTCGTAGATCGTGGCTCCAACAAAAGGCACCCTGACAAATATAGATAATGTCTCTTTAGCATATCCAACATTATTTTGCGGCTGGGACGCAATGCTCCCACAAGTAAAGTGTGGTGTATCATCAATGGGCCCGCAAGTCAGTTACTACTCAGAAATCCTATGATTAGACTATAGGCTTTGTCCAACAACATACCCAGCAGTTGCAAACCGCACTTTTCGCATCCAACCTCCATGCAGCTGAAAATTCTAAGACTCAAGGAGACATTGCACTGTGCATATGTTTTGCTTCATTTTAGGATTCCACTTTTAAGTGATCAGAAATACAGTTTTCTGATTCGGTCGCTCATTGGACCAAGATTTTATGGGTGCTTTCGAGTCACTAATTCCACAGGGCATCCACTCGAAACGATTTGCTGAACATAACAGTTAGGACGACCACTACTAAAATTTAGATCTGAGGTTGGAAGGCAACAGAATTGTAAAATGAAGCGTACATCAGTTCTGCCCGTTAGTATTTGTTTAGAGTTACCAATGGAGTCGTGACAACAAAACAGTCTAAAACGAGGAAAAAGACAACGGTTTTTCTATTTTGCCACGGAATTTCATGGAATTTCGAGTAACATAAGAGAAGCCAAAAATGGATCTTAAAATTCACGGGACGGCTTTGTGCAGACATGCCTACCGGAATAGGTTTTTCGGTTGTAACTTGAACTAGGTACACGTAAACTGATGCCGGATAGGAATTAGCGAAATTACCCCTCTGTCGATCGCTGCTGATCCAGCTTTCTGTAGTTGTTTGATTTAAAACGCACCCAACGCGCTCCTTCCTGTTATCCAAGGTTGCAGCGTCGCTTCTTCTTGTCTATCCCACAACAACTTTTCAGAAACAGGGTCTTTAATCCAACCCCAGTAAACGGAGCGTTTACACAACCTTATTCTGCACTGGATGATTTGTTGCCAGATGGTGGGAGATCAGCAGTTGGCTATTCAATTCACATCCGGGTGGGAATCTCCATCAACACACTGCATGTCTGTTCTCGTTAACCAGCTGTGCTGAGCTGCACAGAACCTGTAATTCAGCCATCAAACAACTAAGTGGCATGCTGGTCGAAATAAATCATTGGAAGGTATCCATCTTCTGGCATCTCAAGTAATGGGTCAAATGAGCAGTCAGTTCGACATTTTAACACTGAACGAAGTCGACGTAATTGAGAATACCAACCGAGACTCTATGCATCTGCAAACATCTAGCGAACCATGACATAAATGGTTGGATCGTTTTGGGTGTCCCGATAATTTGAAATTCGTACCAATAGAAAGCATATTCATCTGAGAAATCTTGTCAGCAAAATGTCCTTTGCTTCCTTTTAACATCAATGTACTTTGGAAATGAGTGTATTTCGCAACTGTTCTTCGGGAAAACACCAGTGGATTATGGGTTTGGCTGCACGTGGGCGCGACAACGAAGCTTAGTTACAGTATAACAATAAACGACAAGTCGGTAGTGGCAAACATACACACACAGAACAGGTTTATCCGATTTGCGTGGTTCGCCATTTTGTGTTTGACAGTATTTGGGTTGTTGTGACAAGTTTTTGCAGCAAATAAGCATGGACTTACGTCTGACAGACCCATTGGTCATCGTTTCACAGTTATTGATGAATCTTATAGACGTTTAGTGAAAGGGTCGGCACCATCCTTTCTGTCAGTTAGATGGAATATGAAAGCGTTAGTGAAATTTACAAGGTTGTCTCGTATAGGGAATTAATGTGGTGAAGTGTTGTCGAACGTTGCCAGTCTTCCGGGATTTTCCTCTTTGCGGATTGAGCCTATTGATCCCTGTTTCGTGGTGAATCACACAGAATTTCCAAGCCTGAGTTTGTTTTATGTCCGGTTAGACTTGCGACGGTACCACATATCTACGGTCCTATTGAGTGTTGGGGGTGTAGGTACATCGGACTTGCGTTGTACGCTAGCCCTAACCCTCCCCCTCCCACCCGCATTCTCTTCTTTCCACTATAAACTATTATTTAAATAAACTGACCTGGTTGTGGGTTAGTGATGCACCACTGTTCTCATCTGGTGTTGACGGTGAACAGGCATGTTTGGTTCCACTCCAATCGCCACAATCTCCTTATATAACCACGTCATATTTCACTTAAAATGAACTAGACTTGGATTCTTACCAAACCCTACAAACTCACTCAAAATGCTCACCTATAAGGAAAAAATGCTGATGTGGCACGGGTTTCAATCGTAGCTCAGTGTTCGTAAGCTGAGCTTGCAAAACAAGCGTCAATCACACCTAGAGTAGCAGCGTGTCAAGAGTACCAATACACGAGAAAATAACCTCACAACATACGCGGATAACTTGAAAGCCCAAGGAGATAGGAACGCAGATCTTCCCAACAATGATACCTATCAGAACGACCAATGTGACTTCCGAATAGATTGTAAAATGCGCGGATGGAGTAGGCGTCAGTAGTACAGAATCGGCGTCAACTATCATGAATTACCGTTCGTTTTGAAGTGTAACAAGTAGGTTCATAGCGGAGCACCATACTGTTAGTTAGTCGAGGCTACTAAGGTAAACTTGGCACGTTGGATAAACATTTTGAACATAATCGGTTGCGCTGAGCACCTTAACAGGAAGAATTTGAATATACAGATCACCTTGTTGTGCTCATTGCTTTGAAATCCTCCTCAAAAGCAGGAAATTTTTTTCTCTTATGCGCCGCCAAAATGAATACCGATAATCATACGAAGTTAATACCAAAATTCTAATAAAGTTACGAGATAACTGATCTTTAATTCTTAGTGTCGGCACATCGTAAGAACCAGGCCAAAGTGCTCAAATGCAGATGGCCTTGGCAAAAAGCCTGAGTAGCCTAGACACACGGAATGATAATGATGGATTTGCGTCAAAAGATCCATAGATGGTCAGTGCTTTAGGTATGATGCATGTAACTCAAGATAGTAACCAGGATACAAGATAGATTAGAAGATGCATGATGCAACAACCGAGACAAGGAGGTACAAAACTATACCTATCCCGACAATGGAAATCAAGGACAAAACACTGGATAAGAAGCATTTGCATTGGTTGTTATTTGATGCTTTTGGATGACATCACAGTTGGTACTAACAAGTGACTGACTCTGGCAACCTAGTCGGCATGAGATCCGAGGCATCGAAAAAGGCCGATTGGAATAAAATTGCCAAATAACTCCGAGTAAGTGAGCAACACACAAAGCTCAAGTTTGCTTTTATCTAAGACAAACTAGGAAATGAAGTTAGACAGTGCGACAGAGATGTTCAAAGCTGGTGATTGCATGTATGACAAGTACGTCCGCAAACCAGTGATAAGTGGTAAGCAATGAAGTAGCTTACTGACGAATGGTGATATATGAGGTGATGAACTGTACATGCGATTGGAAGAATATTGTTGAACTGTGATAAGGCATATTAGAAAACCTTGCAGTAAGTCGGGGGTATAGTTAACGGGGAAAATACAGCATCAGTCTCGAAGTCAAAAGACAATGATTAGAGGAAAAGTTGATAGCAATAAAGTACACAAGAGGTATAGCTGGTAAGAGACGGGCACATTTGCACCTAAAGTGTGAAAGCATACGACTCAACGCAGGAATGACAGAATCAGGTTCAACATGTGCGGGACAGATGTACCTGTATCAGATGAGAAAGTTACAACGGTTCGGTGAAAGTGGTAATCGGAACCATTTGAGGCCGGTTAAAGGTGGTGAAATGCAGACGTGTCCATAACAGACGAACCATATGGCGGTGACAAGTCAGTATCATGTGCTGCTAGAATTGATGGAGTTGGACATCTCGCTATGACTGAGCGACCTCTGCTTATTGATTCTTGCACGCTCCTCTGGTGGAAGATTCGGCTTGTTGTATTTTAACCAAGGTAGTTGCTCCCGAAAGATCTGAAATAAGCAAGTAGACAAAATTTTGGCCTTGAGATGGAGTCGTTAGACTACTTGGTTTACAGAATTCGCAAATGAACAGCAGAAGATGGGATATGCGTGAAAAAATAGCAGACAGAACATTCGGAAGCTGTTAATTAGATGCAGCTGACGAAGTTCTTCCGGACGATTTATCGATTATTTCTCCATTAATCAACCCAATACTGCTGAGAAGCGCGAAGCTCAGGAAAGAGATCAACATACACACAAAAGAGCTTGTTCTTAAAGGAAACCCAATCCAGGATTAAGTGGCACCGTCGGCCGACGGGCAGGATGAAAATCCACACTCACTTGGACATCTCCACCCCCAGCTCGATGTTGGGCGTTCTTAAGAGAGCCAATTTTTGACTTGGCCGTTTTGTCAAACTCCAACTTGTGTGAGACAATCTGAATAGGAACGAAAAAACGTAATCTATGTTGAATGGAAGTCGCTAGACTTACCGTCTACATTGAAACTCAGGCTAGACCAGCTAATACACTTGGCAACGCAATTAGCGAAATAAGAACTTCTAAGTAATTGGTTAGTTGAAGAAACACAACCCAGATGTCGTCGAAATCAGGACATCTGTACAACAGCATCAGATATCGAGTGTGAAAGTGAAATGTATTTATTGAAAAGGTGAGTCCAAGCGGGAAAACAAAGGTAGACCAAACAAACAACCTTTATCGGATCGCCCAAAGATCTGCATCACGTGTAGAATGGTGCTGACAACCACAGCTCGTTTAACAATTACGACTGGGTAATGAAGAGGGTTGAAGGCTAATGGGTCTCTCTGAACTGTTTTGGCCAGGGGACCGTGCTAAGTAATTTGCTGCAATATACCAGATATCATGGATCAAACCCATCACTGGTTAGATGGATTAGCGAAAAGTATAGCAGGGATGGGGAAATATCTCTTTAATAGATGCACAATTTTACACTACACAGCCAGGTATTCGAGTTGACATTGCATTTAATCAAAAGGTGTAGCTAAACAACGGAAGCGATATGAAAGCAGTCTATGGAGGTGCTCATTATCCTCATAATGCTCTCAGCTACCAAAAACCTCTACGCGTTATGTAAAGCTTTCTACGCCTAAATGTTGCAATTTGTTGCGTTTGTGCTCAATATAAAAACCGCCCTAACCTGAAAGTGGTAATCGGAACCATTTGAGGCCGGTTAAAGGTGGTGAAATGCAGACGTGTCCATAACAGACGAACCATATGGCGGTGACAAGTCAGTATCATGTGCTGCTAGAATTGATGGAGTTGGACATCTCGCTATGACTGAGCGACCTCTGCTTATTGATTCTTGCACGCTCCTCTGGTGGAAGATTCGGCTTGTTGTATTTTAACCAAGGTAGTTGCTCCCGAAAGATCTGAAATAAGCAAGTAGACAAAATTTTGGCCTTGAGATGGAGTCGTTAGACTACTTGGTTTACAGAATTCGCAAATGAACAGCAGAAGATGGGATATGCGTGAAAAAATAGCAGACAGAACATTCGGAAGCTGTTAATTAGATGCAGCTGACGAAGTTCTTCCGGACGATTTATCGATTATTTCTCCATTAATCAACCCAATACTGCTGAGAAGCGCGAAGCTCAGGAAAGAGATCAACATACACACAAAAGAGCTTGTTCTTAAAGGAAACCCAATCCAGGATTAAGTGGCACCGTCGGCCGACGGGCAGGATGAAAATCCACACTCACTTGGACATCTCCACCCCCAGCTCGATGTTGGGCGTTCTTAAGAGAGCCAATTTTTGACTTGGCCGTTTTGTCAAACTCCAACTTGTGTGAGACAATCTGAATAGGAACGAAAAAACGTAATCTATGTTGAATGGAAGTCGCTAGACTTACCGTCTACATTGAAACTCAGGCTAGACCAGCTAATACACTTGGCAACGCAATTAGCGAAATAAGAACTTCTAAGTAATTGGTTAGTTGAAGAAACACAACCCAGATGTCGTCGAAATCAGGACATCTGTACAACAGCATCAGATATCGAGTGTGAAAGTGAAATGTATTTATTGAAAAGGTGAGTCCAAGCGGGAAAACAAAGGTAGACCAAACAAACAACCTTTATCGGATCGCCCAAAGATCTGCATCACGTGTAGAATGGTGCTGACAACCACAGCTCGTTTAACAATTACGACTGGGTAATGAAGAGGGTTGAAGGCTAATGGGTCTCTCTGAACTGTTTTGGCCAGGGGACCGTGCTAAGTAATTTGCTGCAATATACCAGATATCATGGATCAAACCCATCACTGGTTAGATGGATTAGCGAAAAGTATAGCAGGGATGGGGAAATATCTCTTTAATAGATGCACAATTTTACACTACACAGCCAGGTATTCGAGTTGACATTGCATTTAATCAAAAGGTGTAGCTAAACAACGGAAGCGATATGAAAGCAGTCTATGGAGGTGCTCATTATCCTCATAATGCTCTCAGCTACCAAAAACCTCTACGCGTTATGTAAAGCTTTCTACGCCTAAATGTTGCAATTTGTTGCGTTTGTGCTCAATATAAAAACCGCCCTAACCTGCCTTCATATTTTTGCAGCTCACCAAATTTCATTGTTCACTGAAGCAACCATGTCTCAGGTTGAAAAGTCTTGTGGGATGATTTCCCAGCATCGCTGAAACCCCGGGATGCCTAAGTGGGGCTTAGACGTTTGAACTGGTACTCTTAATCCAATTGCTCGATTGCTTTAGTCCATCAAGACACGTCAAAACTGTCATTGTGCGGATATTGAGCGCCGTCTATGGACCAAAAAGTTGTAAATTACCGGGTTATCTACTCAGTGCTCTAGTGAGCTTTCGAAAGCTGATGACTATGGGCTTTCAACCTCACTGAAGTTAGTCTTAAAACGTCATCGCAAATCAGCAGGGCTGCGCACAGAAACCAAACAAAACCAAAATATACCAAGGTTTTGAAACAGGTGCTTCTAGCTTAACCACTCGCAGTCCTTGAAGTGGCAGAAACCCACATGTTTTCGATATTAAGATGTTTCAGTATTCTTCATTCGTCAGTGCTCAGCCGAATACGTTCGGGAGATCGTAACTTGACATTACCGTAATATCTCCCTATGGACGCATCCCAAAGTTGTATCAAACATTTTAGGGACACCTTAATATGGAAGATGTATATTCCAAGACAGTGAAAACTGACACCACTTAGAGTGTGCCGATAGAAACAACACACTTGCTGAATCCGCTTCAAACTATCTAGTTCCTATGTGAGATAACAGCGGAACCGGACGCGTTCGTCTTCAAGCAGGATTATCGATAAAAGAAGAAATATCACTGGTCATAAATCATATCCTTGCTAATTCGGTGGTGGTACAAGCAGCTGTTCTTGATTCGGTTCGTAACTGGATACCTTGGGGTGAGTAGCGGCGAATGCAGAGTAGATGACTGATGAACAGTTAGATATTACGGGTCGGTTATTTACGGGTGAGTTTGAGTCTCAAGTTTCTGCACTCACTTGCACATTGCCACCGCCCGGTGTGTGGGTCATTTTGGACAAATGACCTATCTTAGGAGAAGCGTTTTCAGTGAAGTTTAGCTTCTCATTCCTAATCTATATTTGAAATCAGAGGAAAGATCAATGAAACTTACTGACGAACCGCTGTGGCAACGGTTTTACTACGAAAAGCGCAATGTTAGAGGGAGCCAAAATCACTCGCGGAAGACACCCTGTAAATTCTGTAACAGCTCACTCAAACAAGAGATGAGTAAAACAGATGGAATGACAAATAGGCGAACAAAATAACCGAGTTGTGAGGAATGACAAACGAGGAAGTGAAAGCGATCGGAAGTTTAGAACACACAGAAGACCTTATGACTGGAAAGGGAGGCGAGCGTCCATCTAAACACAATTACAAGTAGTACAAAAAAGACAGAAACGGATACACAAGTTCAATATTGGAGAGAAACAGCTCCAGCATTAAGCAAGCGAGGAAAATAGACTGGCGATTGTTCGATTTGAACAAAGCCAGTGCGGCTATTAGGCATTGCCACACAATGCAATACTTAGTCAACACCAAGTTCTTAAGATGGATGCCAACTAGTGTGTGATGGTGAATTGTAGTCAGAACACATCGTTCGACCATTCTGTGACTGTAAGACAAGGTTAGACCGATGCGCGAAGCGCACGAGTGATTTGCCCGCTGTCCACTGCATTATGCGAGAACACCGGTTTCTACGGTCCCAGGATAACTTCGTTAGGCATCACCTTGCGCGTGCAGTGGGACACGGACCAAACAGACCTTCAACCGACAAGTTAGTTTAGTCTGATGATCATAACGGACACCTGGCGAAAAGTTCCAGTTTACACACACTTACTTGTACATTGCCGCCACCTGGCGTGTGGGTCATTTGAGACAAACGCCCTACTCTGGGAGTGGCGTTTTCCGAGAAATTTAACTTATCGTTTCTTATCTACGACAGATGACGACAGAATAAAGATACGGTAAAACATATTGGCGGCCAATTACAAAATTTTTCGCAACTGCTCCGAAAGGGGTTATGGAAAGCCATATAAACCAGTGAAAGTTGATCCAAGCTCGTTCTCACCTCGGTTCTAGCGGATCATTCAGACAGGGATTTTAATGGTTTATCAACCGACACCAGAGAGGTTAATAAATGGACGGTATGACAGGGTGGTGGAGCCATGGCTGCTTCTATTGAAAGAACCAGCATGAGTCACAGGGGCTAGAAAACGCCCAATGAAACAGTCAGGATATAGTCCTCAGACGTACACCCAAAGAAAGCTGAACCAAAATAGCTGAAATTGTAAAATCATCGAACCTTATGGTTGTCTCTAAAAAATGGCGAGTAAGCAGGAAATGAATCTCTTCTGGTAATATTAAGACATTAGAGTGTGAACACAAGTGTACCGAAGGGGACAAGTCGACACAAACGACCATTTTGTTTTACCGTCTGAATTCAGACAAATTACCAAACAAACAACCACCTACGTCCCTGACAGGTTCATCCACACAAACAAGCACGAGTACCGCGTGTGAACAAATGAGTAGATAGGAAGCACACGACAGTGTCCGATGAGAACAGCCACAATACTTTGACCAGGTGTTGCTATCAATATAATCAACGGAAAATATCACAGGTTTTCTGAAGCTCCAACTTTGAGTTTGCTAACGGTAGGAACTTTATTGACCCAGAACACACTGAAGTCTTCCGTTAGAAAAAAAAACGGGCACTTTGGAATTTTACATCCCACACGCTTTGGTGATTTTAACCTACACAATCCGAAATTACGTCCCAGGGCATTTCGAGAAAAAACCATGATCAGTTCATCAAAAACGGTGCAAAAAAACCGAGGAATGAACTGGTCACTCACTGAGGGTCAGTAACAATGAGATATTTAGAAACCAGATGGAGTCACAACTGATTTGTTACCAAATAAACCTTGATGAGTAGTACGCAGGCCTGGATACCGTCCACCAAAAACAGTGTACTTCTATTCGGTACCGGTCCCTACACATTGAGGGCAACCTACCAGTGATCTCGTTTGTACCAAACGAAGGTCATGGTTTCCGAAAAAGAAGGTTTACCAGCTTGGCTTGCAACCCATCTACGGGATTTGACTTTGAAAACGATAATGAATCCTAATCAGTGAAGGTCTTGTTACCGATTGTTCAGCTAAAGCATTCTTCAAGGAAATTGGCATGATTGGATAGTGCTCATGACGATGAACAGCTGTGATACGTAGGACCAGCCTATCCGGTCACAGGAACCGGCTACAGTAAGTGCCTGAAGAAAGGACACTGAATTCAAGGGAAGGGTGCACTAGAGATGTTGCAGTTCCTAAATCAACGTCGATGATCTTCCCGTTTATAGTTTTGACCAGAATATTTTAAAAAGGTCAGAGAGGAAAGGAATAGGGCTGTGAATAAACCAGCAACTGAACAGCCGGTCAGAAGCTTAGTTGAACAGCCAGTGCAGAGTTCGAAACGGCGTCTGGGAAGGCTGTTTTTAAGCGATTAAACAATCGGTAAGGAAAGTTAGATAGAGTGAAATTTCCAGAAGTGAACCGAGGCCCCTTCATTAAGCGATAGTTCAATCTAGTTGCCTAGGGCACTTCAAAGACGAGGTGTGCCAATTTTTAACAAATAGAGATTATCGACAGCACATTTACTCTTGATACTCATATTGAATTTTGTAGAGAAAACAACTCAGTACATGTGGCACATAACCGTAGCACCGAAGTTTTCAGAAATAAATATGAGAAGTACCTGAAATCAGCGCACCACAGATCCTTTGTATCGGTTACGTATGTCAGTTACTATTGGTCAGAGATACGGGGAGAATTCAGAACATCCACCAACAGAGGTCAGGTTTCGCAATCATACCGTGGACTTTGGCAGGAGTGAAGGCGAGTGATCATCAATGGCTGAATTTTCTTCCATGGGATACAAGAGCCTCCAAAGCAATACAGTCGAGGCTGCCTATTATTGCTTACTTTGTCCGTTCTGATTTAACACCAAATTTTCACTGCTCACTGCGTTTGTGAGTACTTCTGATGTGGAGCGCAACTAATTCAGAATATCATGCTAGTTAGAGAGTACAAAAGGCCATCAAGGCAATTTTACGTGATCACATGGATAGCCGCTCCGGAGCTGAATTCGATATGTGCAAAGTTCGCGCCCGTAACGAGTCATGGTTGAAGATCGCTATTGATGTATTTTGGGTTGGGCCTAGTACTTACTGATGAACTACGCTTGCGGGGGGGACCTCCGATGAACTGCAATAGAGTATTACAACCAAAAGTTTTAAAGAGCGAGTTCCGGAGTCCTGCGAAAACCGGTAGGTTACCGCAAACTCCGTATGGCGCTGTGAATTGGAAGCTGTAGGGAGCCCTGGATAAGCAGATAAAAATATAAAACACATCTGTAAATTGGCATTCGATGGTCAGACGTCTTCATCAAGTGCTCCAGGGTTCCTCATACATACGGGGATGAAAAGCCGTTTTTGCTGACAACGCCTACCAAGTAGAGAGCAGAATCTCGTAACACAAAATAAAAAATTAAAGGAACATTGTTCGGTGTTCATAAAAATCGAGATCTGATGATTCAGATGCCTTGGTCCGCTGTCGACAAGGTATGACAAAAGGAGGATTTCAGATAAGCCGAAGTTACAATGGAGGGGATTTGTAGTCCCAGGTTTGTTTTTGAGATAGCTTAATACATACACCTAGAGGCGTGCATTTTCAGTGTTTCTATGCAAAGAAGCGTCTGGTCCAGGCGATTCGCACCCTGAAGTCTTCAAAAACAGTGGGGAGTCCCTGGTGGCTAACCTGATGACTTTACTCTGAATTATTTTGGATGATGAAAGAATGCAGGTATAATGGAGTGCGTCTCCACGGTGACACATACACTCAAAAAGGGATACAGGAAAATCGTGTGGAAACCACCAAAGCACCAGTCTACTGAACACAGGTCTCAAGTAGTCCCTGGTTCTATCCTATACAGATTGGTCCATCATCAAGAATTTAAGATCCACAAAAACCAGACTGGATTTCGTCCCTGTCCAGGTTGCACCTTCACTTTGCGGCAAATGTTAGAGCTGTGTTACTTCATCCGATGACCGAAAGTGGTCACTTTTCTCTGCCTGAAGTCTGTTTTTGAGTTGGCTGATCCTCAGTGAAGGCAGTGAAGGACGCCCCTTCCAAATTATTGTTTCTTATACAGGTCTCACATGCCTCCTCCTAGGGTACGCATCCACGGCGAATTCTTTCCTGAGTTTACCGCAACAATGAGTGTCCGGCAAAAATGCCCTCTATCGCCCTTTCTCCTTAACTTCGAAATCGATACACTACTTGCGTGTTCTTTATTTGCCTCCCCCCTGGGGATCGAAACACTCCGGAGGCGTTCGCTCATAGACATCGGGTACACCGATGATATTGCTCCTCTTGGATCAGACCCCTCTAGAAATCAAAACTATTTCAAATAACATAAATAAGTCTGCTGCACAGTTCGGAAGTAGGCGCTTCGAACCTGTAAGATTTGGCTGGAGCAAACCCAAACCTCACACTTGCAGGCGAACTGACCAACGAGTTAGATAAATTCCTCTGTCCAAGTGGCTGAATGAGTCCCGGCTAACTGGTCAATGACGAAAACGCTTCTGGAATTGGGAAAGCCGAGAAAGCGTCTGCCAACCAACAATTGTGGCACCGACGTGACATCAGCTTGAGAGTTAAGGGTAGAGTACAATATCGTGATACTATCTGTCCCACTTTATGGATCGCAGACATTACCCCTGTGTGCGCAAGGACTTCGAAGATCCCCTGTGTTTGGCCATCAGGGCCTCCGAGGCGTTGCGCGGGTCTGGTGGAAACTGAGGTAATCCAGATGGTTTTCTGGAAAGGTCACTCTCTCGAGGGCCACGTACTTCGCAAGCCAGAAAACTATCCGCCACAGAATTCCTTTCGCTTGGCTTTGCACAGGGTGGAAAAGACCAAGGAATGATCAATTAATGATTTGCCAACCAGTCAACTCAGTCGCATTGTTGAGTGCCGTCTACCCGAATGAGGATTCAGAGGCGAGAGAAACCAGCGGCTAGTGACCCTGATAGATAATATTAAATCACGCAGCCAAGGGCGATCGTGTATCAAAGCTATCGCCTCCGCTGCGTAGCTCCCAGTCCCTTGCATATCAGAAAAAACATAACTTGTCATCAATGAGCTTATTTGGCCAGCGGTTCCGACGCGTGGCTATCACCCACTCATTGTGCTTGTCCTCGATGAACGAGGCTGCAGCACCTAGAACCATTGCAGTCAGGCACATGGTGTTTTGGCTGAAAAACCGAAATGAACATTTGAAAACAAGTGAAACATAACGATAGGAACTATATACAGTGGAGATGGGCTGTTCAACAGGGTGAATGTACTGAATGCATGAATGATGAATATCTGGTGGAACTTGGAGGCAAATTCCAGGTATGATTAACTACGAATGGGCAAAAGAATTATCTTTTAACGATGGATAACTTTGAAGCCTGCTAGATGCTGTATTTGGCTTGCATTGGTCGTAGCAGGATTTGCATCCTTCTCGAGCGTTTTAAGATTATTTGGAGGGTCAAGACTCTAATTGCATTAGATGAAATGCTGACATGGGTGATAAGTGCTGAACACTTGGCTGTTCTCACTTGAACAGAAGTAGAGGGAGAATAGGGAGAAAACGGATGGCCTTGCTGGAATTTCGAACACTATAGTCAAACTGGCATGTGCTGACCGACTGATGAATTTCCTAGTTATCCTCATCATCAACTATTTAAGCTTTATTTATCTGGTCTATGAATTTTCAGACTTTCGGACCTTATTTTTAGTACTATTGTGAGCAGCAATCAAGAATCGGATTGAAACTCCCGATCGTTTCATCATGGGTTTAAGTTCAAATGGAAAAAACGACAGAACGCCTCAGATGATACACCAACAGAAGCGACCTACCATATGATGGACTTCGGTAGTACTGAACTAGTAAAGACCTAGACGTTGTTGTACAAAACATCTGAAGAAAAATCCGGCGACGTCTTCAACGATGCTCGACACCCAATAGCTTGTAGTAAAAGCAGTTATTCGTGAACTGGATTAATTTCACATTCAGAGGCAGGATAACACTGACTGTGAAATAATCGTTTAGGATCGAATCCCATTAAGTGGTGCGCTTCAAGAGAAGTATATGGTGAATAATCGAATTGGAAATTAGTGTCGCACGGACGAACAGTATCAAGGAAAAACGAGGTCAACTGTAGTGACCCTCAATGAGAAGCGGTGCATGTTGGTTCACTTTTGAGTGAACACCCTGGAAAAAGGTAGACTCACTTGTACCTGACCACCGCTAGGAGTGTAGGTAATTTTGGACAAACGTCCTATTCTGGGAGCGGCATTTGCTGAGAAGTTCAACCTATCATTTTTAATCTACGGTAGACGGGGCAACGACAGGACAAAGGTGAGGAGGAAAGATGCAGTGAATGATCACGACAAAAGGCAATCTATAAAGACCTACAAACAACTTCAATGACCTGGAATAACCTGACCATTGGGTTCAGACATTAGACAAAATCGGTGAATCTGCTAGGAGTCAATTAACCCATAGAACAGTGGTTGAGACTCATCACCCCAGAATGAGTCGAAAAGGCATAAGCTAAGACAGTAGGGTGGGAAGGATAAAGAGTTGGAAGTGTGATGATATTCAGAAAGACAAACAGGTACATAATTAGGGATGGATGACGAAAGCACTTCAAAGCATGCTTAAGATCAAAGATACCACGCCGAAAATAAACCCAACTAGAGCACTGACTCCGATGTTCTCCGTTAGTCACGATCTCATGTACAGCCCTTACGAATAAAGGCCAATTTCCTTCATTTGTGGTGGTGGCTTGAAGAGTTCCGTATTAATGTACTCACTATTGGTGTTCTGGAAATCATCGCAGCTGTACAACAGTTAGGCATTGGTGTGTAGATATGAGTAAGGTGCCCACGATCGTGACTAAGCTGAAAGCTTTATAAGCACATGGCTATAAGTGTACAACTACAACAAACGAAGTGGTTATTTTTACACAACGCTCATGTGAATGGTCTGAGATATATGGTTCCCTGAGCTCAACGCGTCTCGATGACGAGCGAACACTCGTTGAGGACTTTTCCAGCATCAAACCTGAAAGGAGATAACGTGTGAACAAGAGTGTAAGTAAACCTCATATCCGCGTCGATGACATCCGAAGACGGACGGGGGAGGAGGGTAAGTATAAGGATGTCGGCAGGTGCAACCCATTTTTGTGGACAAACACCAATTCTGGGACATCAAAAGGACATTGCTGTGCGACTGGGTCACGCCGCTTGGATAATCATCATCGTCACTGACAACGACACACCAGTAACAAACCCTGGTACTTAACAGTAACACGACTATGAGGAAGAATGCTCTAGTAAAGAGTGGAAAGAAGGAGAAAGGGTGGGTAGGTAGTGCAAAAAGCATATGAGAAACAAGTGAGAACAAATAAGTAAATGCATATGGGTATTACATCAAAGCTAAATAGTCCGACTAGAGAGTGATAGCAGCCTCGCCACTCGGACCGGGGACGTGCAAGACTTGTAGAGTTCCTAATGTTTAAGGCAAACCGTACGGCCCGTAACCAGGAGTAGCCGAAGATCCTATTTTAATAGTTTTCATCTTAGTTTCGCGTTGCCAAGTAATGGCATATCCCCAGCACTGTTCACCTTGGGCCAGTCAATCGACCTTGATTTGTTTCCACATTCTTTCAGAACTGTGAGATCGGATACCCTCCGAAACAAGACACTGGAAGTTCCAGATGGATTGAAAAGTGAGAAACATGCGTATGTCAGTTGGATTTTCTAGTTATACCTCTTCAGTTCAGATATGAGCTGATCAGTTGGAATAACAGAAGTAGGCTGTCGCATTTAGAGGGAGCAGTACTGTTAGAAAGTCCTAAACGAAGGTCACAAGCGCTTTTAGCGAGAATGGTTAGTTTGATGAAACTGATCGAAAACAGCAGGTCCAAAACTACAAAGTTGATTCTACTCCTGGATAATACTCTCATGTTGGCTTCGTGTTTGGTTGCAGTTTGAGAATGCCATTGAAAGGTCCCTTGATTTCAAAACCCTCTATGTACATAGAACAGTTATTTTCAGTTGAGTGTTGCGAAATTCGCCTGAACGGGTGCTCAAAAATGAACGGCTCATCATGACATTTTAGGTGCGCATTGGTTTTGCTTGATGCTCTGAGCTGTGGTCGCTGAAAATCGCGAAACAAAAGGGAGTGTCCGACTGCATGACAAAGCTGACCGTCCCTTTGAAAGCACACTATTTCTCACTATTCTCATTATTCGGCGATTTTTAAACCAAATGTCCACAAAATCTTGTTAGAACTAAAAATGTTATGCGAAGACACAACCAGCGGAGAAAAGCATCCCGAATTCCAGTAAAACCCTTGACCATGCAATCATAGGATCATGTGTGAAGCATCACTTAAGGTCGTGGCCAAATTCTTACAGAAGACTGAAAACACTCCAAGTGAATAAGAGAGAGACAAATACGATGAACGAATGATAAAAATAAACAGGTTTGATCAGGATGGACCCATGGAGTGAATTAATAACACCAATTAGGCGAACGCGTATGGTAATTTCGAACGGACACCAACTGAATCCTCCATACAAGCGATGACTTACTTGCACATTACCACCTCCGGGAGTGTGGGTCATTTTGGATAAACGCCCTATCTTAGAGGTGGCATTTTCTGTGAAATTCAACTTATAGGTCTTAATCTAGACGGGAAGGCGAAATAATGAAAGGATGGGATTGAGTATTCAGTGCTATGGAGAAAAAACAACCTAAAAAGAAACATTACATTTACTAAAAAGGTTAAAACTGTTAAAAATGAGTACTAGTGCAGGAGAACAAAAGTTATGCTAAAAAGAAGCGATTCCACCGATGAAATAGGCTGCCCTTACAGAAGACAGTAATGATATGACAGGTCAATAAAATGTGTCATTCAACTGCCATCTGGAACACAAGATGTAAGGCGCGAAAACTCGCAGTAGTCGCAAATGAATTACCTGCGTCTGACCACCACCAGGAACATGTTTGACGTTCTTTAAAGAACTTATCTTCGAATGGACTCCCGTGAGGTCAAGCTTTTCGTCCACAATAACTACGTTTCCACCACCTGGAAGGCATGATGAGGAACTGAGAAATGCATTCTGAACAAGTAATTATGGGTCTACATACATGGACAAATAATGGGTCTAAATTCTGAAAGCGTAAGCGTAAACAGACAGATCAATTAAGTTAAATACGTCATTCCAGACCGGATTGCGGAAACGCGACATTCTCCAACCTTCGAAATCTCCGAGCCGCCCGTTAAAGAACAATTTTTTGTCCATTCGTCAGAAGGACACACCTCTGCTGATGGAATGGCCAGTCACTATGCGCGGATGTGGTACAACGACTGTTTACATTTGATCGCAAGTGTTTACGCGATAGTTACAGTGTTCCTGTGGAAGTAAGGCAGAATTACTGCGTCGCGTCTAACATGACAGCTGGGATCGAGAACTTTGCACTGTGGTAATATTCTGACCCCGTCGCGATTTAAGGACGCAACGTCAGTAGTTGTTTTGTTTGGCTTGTTCGGTTCAGAATGCAGATCACATCTTACAGGTTGACGAATATGAAAAAGCTGGGTGGATTCTACTCTGTAAACAATGTCCAAAGAGAATCAGTCTTAGATACAGACCACGGCTATCAAGAAACAGAACCGAAATTAGTTACACAGTTGGCATTCTTAACTCATTTTAAATCCACCATCACGTTTATTCACCTTTTTAAATAGTACATATCCCGTACTGTCACACTACCCGGTATACTTACTTTCTGGTGGTGGCGGCTATCCTGCGGGTGTGTCACACTCCAGTCGATACCGCTGAATCCTTTCATAGTGATAACCCTAACCACTATCACTACAATTGTCACCGTTGGGGTGTGACCTTATCAAAAGAACAACCTTGCGTTCGAAACCAACGGCAGACATTCTAAGCGAATGAAACTTCCATACTGTCTCAAGTAGCACATTGGTGTGTCCTCAAATCACATCGTCAAAACTTTGTAGCCTGACATTTCAAACTGGCAACAAATGCACAGTTTAGATGTAGAACCTTCACAAAATTTAGTAAGAGTGGAAGACCATAAAATCGATTTAGACAGTAAACGGACTATCACCCTAAAAGTCGTTGCTAGTTTCTGGGTTGGATTGGTAGGTCATGTGGTTTCCGCGCTTTTGTGCCTGAACCAACCAGTGGCGTTGACGAGACGGGCCCCAGAACTTCTAAAAATCAGGGTGCATGCAGATTTGTGGGACTGACTCGTGTTTGCTGCTTATGAATACAGAAAGAAGGATGTAGAGATCAGTGGTGGTGTACTGGCGTATACTACTGATGAGGAGCAAAGCACTGAGTTTTTGTCAGTTCGGAAACATCATTGTTGACCTCCACTCTAGGTTCCGTATTCGTTGTTCGAGTGAACTTGATTGTAACAGTTTCATCTCCTGACCTGCTGTTCGTCTGAAGTAACCCGACTGAGTTACCTGTATTGTTGATCAAAGCAAACAGACCTTGCTGGGCGGAAGACTAGTATGCAACCACCTACTATAAACTAGGATAGTTTTCTCGAGGACCCAAAAACAAATTACCAGTTCGAGTAATCACTCAACCAAAAATATAACGAGGAATGCTCATAGTCTAGTGATCTAATTGCATATCCACTAAATATGACGAAAGAGTTAGTTGTATTATGTATCGCCTTCAGAAAAAATGGGCTGACTTCGCCAAATACAGCTGTCGATTGGATAACTTGAGAACATGAGACAATAGTTAACACATGTCTTCGAAGGAGTTTTTGTTTCCTCTTCTCATTTAAGACAGTTTTCGCTGCCTCCTTGTCGGGTGGAGTGTATCGGCGTCCCTCCAGCGCAGATAACGATCTGAGTGAGATTCAACGTTTTCGGGGTTAAACCTCTCGCGCGCTGTTCACCAGAGCCCCTTTTCAATCAACGTCCGGCTGTTGCTGTCGTGATGATAGATGTGAAGGCGGTCAGAAGCTTTCTTATAGAATACAAAGTTAGTTTACTGTGTGTGTGAATAATCTCCGAGAGAAGACGAGCAGGAACAAAAGCGTAATCCAAATCTAGATGACTGGTCTAAAATGAGCGGTTATATTTTGGGCTGGTCAGTGATTTGTAGCTAACGTGATACATTGGTGTCCACGGCTAGCTCGGATAAGCTGATCTCAAGCAACGCGATGACTTCTTTCGCACTGAAATAAGTTGCTGTTGGACCCCGTATGCGCGCAGTACATTGTGCGACCAACGTCCATGTGTTGTATATGGGTGCTGAATATAACAACCAATCCTCCCCCAGGTGAACTTGGGTACTCAATTTTCCAGTCAGAAAAACTATAAGAGATTTTTTGTTTGGCTTAAATCTGACAGAACGTTGTGGGAGGTATCTTTGATGGACTATGGGCTAACATCCAAGCACGACCTGTTCCAACGACTTCCGGGAGGTGTTCGATTTCGTGAATCAAGGAGCACCGAGGAATTCAGATTTGCCCTGGGAATTTCTATCTAATGGAAATCACTCGATGGGAGACCATAACAGGGATTTGACAGGACTGACCAGAACCAATCGTCCTAGACGGATGAACAACACAGAACAATAATCTTCATAAGTTTTCTCGCACAACAATTGTATTCACTCGGGAATCGACAGAATCCAGTAATGAAGCTGGTTTTCGGATCCGCCCTTCTGAAGCTGCAGCGTGCTTTCCAGATTGTCACTGTGCACGTAGCTCACTTCTCTGTAAACAGGAACGATACAAACCACATCCAATGAATACTATACCAACCGTAGTAGCAACAAGGGCCGTTCAAAACGAGAGTCAAGAAGACAATGGAAAATTGGGTGCTGCAGTCATCTTCGCTCTTTCTTGCACGTTTCCCCGAATAAAAGGTAGAAACTGCAGTGAAAATGCTCTCTATTACAAAATTCATCCACTCGGATAGCGTGTTTCCACATGGAGTTTACTACGATAATAAGCAGTTTGACGGATTACCAATCACGCCACCCATCACGTGCGGAAAGAGGCTTGATTGGGAGGCCTCCAGTGACGATGAGCTCTGACTGAACCATGAAACAATACATTACGTAATGTGTAAGACAGATGTTCGGGAGTCACCAAATGGATGAAAGCACACAAAAACGTGATAGATGGTACAGAGAGTAAGTGGTAAATTACGTCAAAGTAATCAGTGATACCCACATAACATACGCTACCCACTGACCTGGTTTGTGTTTCACATTGGCGAACGAGTTACATTTGCTGGCGATTGGGCCCAACTGAACTTTTTCATTGACAATACTTACCTGAAAAGATCAGAGAAGTTGTTAGAAAAGGGTGGTTACCCAAGGGCGTAGCGTTCCATGAATCAGAAAGAAACTAGGAACCATAATAATAACAATTGCTCAGCTGTGGGATCGTTTGGATTCCTAGCTATCATGCCATCTGAAGGAATCACGGAGCTCGGATACTGCCAAGCTCCCCAAGGCTAGACAGGAGAAATCGGGATGCAGAGGTCGGGTTCGAAACAGGAAACTTTCGGCAAGTGAATTCGCACTTTAACCGATTACCTGTGAAAACTACTGATTTTCCCAACCAATGATAGGTAGCCCTAATTCGTCATTTTTTCTTGACTGCTCTCTTACACACGTATCCATAGGAGTGAACTATAATGAACAAAGTTCAAGACAGCGCAAATAAAGTGAGCACATGCAAGACTGACATCTTGAAAATGACGGTCGGGAACCGGTACGGAGCGTGGAAGGAAAATGAGAGCTCAACCCATTATTTTCTGGTTCATTAAGCTTACGGACCAGAGGTATCGAAACACTAAACGGACCAACCAAACCAAACTGAATCACCTGTTTCATCATAAACCTCAGCAACATAAAGCGCTTAAACCAGCTGCATACTGAGTCGCTAGGGGCATAACAAGAATGCTAAGGGACACGGATGATAGGATAACCCAATCTCCAACAAGTTGACTGATTCTGTAGGACGTGTCACGAGCCCAGGAAGGACAGAGATAAATTACAAATACACTCACAAGCATAACTTCACCAGGAATAAACACGTGGGAGATATCTAGATTAATTTCAACGGCCATAACAACGCTAACTGGGAGTATATGAAAATCAAGAATAGAAAAAAGACGAACGGGCGAAGAAGACAACTGGCGTCTTAAATATTCCCCGTAAGTTATTCCGAAAAAAGAAATACAGACTGCTGAGGTGTCTAAAATTGGTCCAACAGAAATGAAGTGATTGCACCAGCCTAGCGAGCGACAACACCATTATCGCACGTATGGATGTGAGGGGTGTGAATGGAATGTAACAAAGGTCTACCAATCACATGCACTCCAAAGAGTATTATTTTTAGCCGGGCACCACCCTATGCGCCATTTCTGCTTGGTGTTGTACGATTAAATTGTTTATTGTTCTCTTGGTTGCTGGAACCAAACAAAGTGTCTTATATTGCCTTATTCTCTAATCGACTTGCTCGTCATGCCTTCAAAACATTTCGCTTCACAGAAGTAGGGACAGGAATGCGTCGAGAAGTTTAGCGCGCCGACGGACACTTTGGGTCCGAAGGAACACATATACTTGTTTGTGAACCGAGTTTGAATTGTTCCGGCGGGGAAACTCTGCTCAGTCCGGTGTAGTCTTTTACTCCATCGGTAGGCCAAAGTATCGCTCTTAAAAGAAAAGCCAATTATTACGGGCTTTCTACCAACTGTGATGATAAAAGTACACATTTCCATACAGAATTATGTAAGCCCCCATCGCCTCTCAAAACAAGAGTCAAGGGCTCCTGTTTTAATGCGTCGTCAGAGCAAATTTCCCATAATCAGATAACAAAGCTATGGATCAAGTCGCACTTCTGTTTCAGCCGAACGCGGCCTTCGCTACCGCGAAATTACAAGGCACAATTGTGACGCCATTCAAGTGGAACCGGGAGAACAATAACCGACTCATTTGTTCACTATCCAGCACACATGGCGCACAGTATGGTGACGGATTAAAAAGCGCCTGCTAAGCAACCTGAACCATTAGTTCCTGGTGTATACTGATTCTGTGACACGTCGCTTTATCATGAAACAGGCAGCGGCTAATCAATAAAGCAAAAAGACTTAGAATTCGTGGCTCAGAAAATCCAAGCCTTGTCTGTCTAACCTTATACCACATGCGCGTATAAAAGTAAATACGCATTGTAGGTGAGTGATAATTAGTCCTCTGCGATCACTTTAGTCGGAATAAACTGAGAAGCGGTGAATTGCAGGCGCTTCCGATCGGCTGTTAAACTACGTACCCTCTTTAAACTACCGGCACCATTTTATCTCCTACAAATTGGATATTTTACGATTTTACGATTTTTACGACTACGACTTTACGGCAGTGAAGCATCGGTGTTGAACACTGATGTCATGCTGTCGATGATGATGATGATTTTACGATCAGTCGTACCGTCGGGGTAGTCTCGACTAAGTTAAACAAAACCAAGCATCGCACCGAGCTACCTATATTCCGCAACACTGTCAATGATCACTGTAGACGGCACAGGTTGAAGTTCAGTGAATCGAATGTTGCAGTGCAGTCTGTCGCTTTACTACATCAAAACCAGTAAGTTAGCGGTTGTCATTTGAATGAATAGGGCCAACATGACGATTTCGGCCGATTTCGAGTGCACTGGAATATACTGCGATAACTTGAAAAGAACAAGTTTTCCACTAATGATGGCATGTTGATAAACAGAGCAGCAGCTGTAAGAGTTTATAAGACGTGATAACGGGGAGGGACCACGAAGAGACCAGAATTAAAATGTAGATTTTGGTCGCGAAATGTTTTTTTGTCCAAACCGCCAAGGTCTCTACCGGGAAGCTGCATGACAATGAGGTCATTCCATAAAAAGTATATTCGTAATTCATGATTCATGACTCGCTCACTGCACACAAAACTCGGTAGGTAACAATCCTTTCCAACTTTTCGCACCAATGTACTTCAAGGCGGTATCTTTTAACCTTTTATTTTGGCCCACAGCAACGACAACCTCATAGCTTCTGGTTTTACTGGGGCTTTTAAGTACGCTGGTGAGCTCACCTTTGCTCTGTCTTATCCCCCTATTCAAACCTGATAACCTGACAAAAGTTCATCTTCTAATGAACTTATGTCGAATTTTAACCCTCAAAATACTCTAGACGGTTAAGCCAAGCGTCTGAAGAATCAGCAAAAGCTCCCCTATAGTCGCGAATACCAACTTCCAAATGTCGACAACATGAGGCATTATACGGACTCTTTTCTTGTGTATTGTGTTGGAAAGCACGTATTGAAAGCGTTTTCCAGGATCGCAGGACACTCTCCTCCAGCAGGAAACTGTTTAGTTTGAATTTCCTCACAGTTTGCTTTCGAAGTTTATCTATCTGCTATTTTCCAACTGTACTCGGGAGGGACATCTGTATCCTCAGATATGCAAGTACTATATCTCAGAAATGAAATATCCTCGCTTCCCGTCCAGAAGCGAGTAGATATACCTCTGCTTACAGTTATTACCCTCTCATCTTTGTAGTAAAACAAAACAGTTCAACAAGAAATAATCTTTAATCGATATAGGCCCGCCCTTTCTTAAGCAAATCCGGCATCTGATCTTCAGCTCGCTGCCTTATAAACAATAAGATGGACCGAAAAGAGCCCCGAGAAAACTTTTCCTGGTAACCAAGTATTTTGTATTTATTTTTTTGCAGCCAAAATGGAATTCATATATGCATTTGGTTTTGTGACGGGAATTCGCCGATTTCCTGTCACTCACAACGAGACTCGTGAAAACCTATCGGTTTATATATGTCTTTGCAAGGCATATATAAGGAAAGACTTGTGTAGAGGAACAAGTTAACAAATAAATAGTCCATAAACTTACAGTGCCACCTCCCGGCTTATAATGGACATTTTTCAGTGAATTGATCTTTGAGGTTATCCGTTTTGGAGTACCTAGAGAAAAAAGATAAGTATACCGAAAAGCGTGGACAGAACAACATCTAAAGCTTCGAGATCCTGATGCAGCCAACATAGCATAACGAGACCATGGAACACGACAACGAAATCCGTACATCAAGTTCACTGAAATATTAACAAAAACATAGCATTTTGATCACGAGAACTAAATTAAGTTCGGTAGCCAAAACATGGAGTGCAAATCGAGCAAGTGACGTGTCTGAATGCTAAGCCGGCTCAATTCCAATCTAATGATGTGCCTAGTGGAATAAACCTGCATTCGAACAGACGACTGACCGTAAGGCACAAACCACTGCGTCTGCATTTACACGGCTAGGGAATGATTGAAATGCGGAGATGTGCTCCAAGAAGAACTATCTACGTAAACCACTGGCGAATGGTAAGGACCCGCTGAGAAAAAGCCGGTGGTCTGGGCCACAAGGCTCGTCATCGAACAATGAACCGAAATAGAATGTCCGCATGGGGAACAATAGCAGAAGGAATAGTCCACAATTTAAATGAATGGTTGAACAGCGCATTGCGCAGTGAAAAAAACACTCGGTTGCATCATCGACCATTGCAGCAGCTGCTCCATAAATTGTAAATAAGCACGCGAGACAAATCCACACCCATGATTGAAGCCACTAACTTCCCGCGTTAAAGAACGTGTACTAATTGTGACTAAACTGCCCATCGAGTGGCCTATCAAGAAGTCATAAGCAGGAAAAGGGAATGTGGTGGCTAACAGAAACACGAATGTGCCAAAACATTCACCCGGAATCGGTCACGATGCACATGACACCAAGTTCAAACTATATGATTATTTTTGATTCAAGAGATAACTCAATCCAGTGGAGGTAATCAACAATAAACCTCCTACGCTCAGTTGAACCGTACCCGACCAAATCACTCTAGTAGGAATTCTGCCCAAGTAAACAACACAACAGCAGGTTCGAAACTAATTCGAACAGCACGAGATCGGAACTAAGCGGAGCTGCGCAACTCCGAGAGGAGGACCAAGACAAACATTATATATATATATATATATATATATAGATACAAAGGTCAGTGTGGG